AAAATTTTTTTTTTTTTTTTTTTTTTTTTTTTTTTTTTTACATTTGTATACAAATTTGTATATTCTTTTAATTTTTTTTTCTCAACATATGTATATGAATATGCCAGTAAATTTACTTTTTTCAATTTTATATTTAAAATAAAAAAAAAAAATATATATATATATATTTAAAAACAAATATGAAAGATTATTTTTTTATTTTTTTTTATATTTATATTTTTGTTGCACTGTATGTTTTTGTTTTTGTGAAAATGTAAGGTATTCAAATACCTAATGAAAGAACGTTATTTTCTTTTTTTTAAAAAATTCCTTTTTTAATTTTTTTTTTTCTTTTTTTTTTTTTTTAAGAATAAGTGATACTACATATTAAAATATTTCTAGTACAATTTATTTTTATTTGTTATATAATATTTAGAGCAGTAAAATTGGGGATATTAATTTTTATTATAGCCTCTCATCTCACTAATTAAAATTAATTTTGATATTTATTAACACAAGTTTTTTATAAAATAAAAAATATATTTTTTTTTACCTTTTCTTGAAAATTAAAATCATTGTATATGCTTTTTTAAAAATAAGTTTATTAAAAAAAAAATATTTTTTTAAAAAATTATAGTTTAAAAATACTGCTTTTTAAATAATAAAAACTAAAAAAAGAATTTATTCAAAATATTACAAAACAAAATAACAAAAAAATAATACATTTGTAATAATCTACATTTAAAAACTTAAAATAAAATAAAATGAATAGGTTACTTTACTAATTTTAAAAAAAATTATTAAAGGACTTATATAAATAGTAGTATATAACCAATTAAAACTTTAGTTTTATTTAGAATAATTTAACGGAAAATATTATTTGTAGAATTATATAAATCTATATACATTTAAATTTTTTTTTTTTTTTTTTATTTATATTCATACATTTAATTACAATAAGCATATTAGAATTGTTATAATATTTTATACACATTTGTCATTTTTTATTACTAATTATATAATGTATTTTTATTAAATTTCATATATAAATTATTTATTTTTTCTTTAATATAAAATGCAATATATTAAAAATGTAAAAGATGAAGAAAATATAAAATTTGTAATAAAGTATTTAAAGTGTTTTTTTTTTTTTTTTTTTTTAAGTATATTTATATATTAAAAAACATATCCTCTAAGAAAAAAAAAAAAAATTATAAAAAATAGTAAGAATTAGAAAAATTATACGAACTTCTTATTTTATATATATGTTAAGGAAAACCTTAAATATAAAGATATTTGTATCTTTAAAAATAGGTGTAGTACTTAAATAGAAATATATTTATAAAATATTTATTAAAAAATTCAAATGGCATAAATATAAAATAAGAATAAAAAGATAATAGTAAATGATAAATAAAATGTAAGAAAAAAGAAGAAAACATTATTAGTATAAAATAAGGAATGAATAATTCTTTTTCTTATTCTTTTTTTGAGAAATATTTTATTATATTTAAATATAAAAAGTTCATAGAATTGAAACAAAAAAAAAAAAAATAATTCAAAAAATAAAATTTTTTTTTTTTTTTTAAATGAATAATTTAGATATAAAAAGAAATAAAACGATAAATATATGCAACACCGTTGCAAAAAAAAATCAAAATTTTTAATTTTTTGTAAAAAAAAAAAAAAAAAAAAAAAAAAAAAAAAAAAA